CGGCCGTAGGGCGCGTAGCCGCCGCCGCCGCTACCGCCGCCTCGCAGGTGGCAGTACTTGCCGTGGCGCTTCAGGCGCTTCTTGCAGAGCGCCACGAGGTCAGGGATCTGCAGGTAGCTGGCGGCGGCCAGCACCGCGCCCAGGCTCGGCTCGGTCCCCGGGGCCACCGCTGCGGCTGCAGCCGCCTCGGCCCCGTCAGCCAGGCGGCCGGTGTAGATGAAGTCCAGCACCAGGCGGAACACGGCTGGGCTCACCATATCATGGTCCAGGTTGAGCAGGTTGTCATGCACCACCAGGGACTTGAGGTAGGCGCTGCTGGCCGCCAGCACGTTCTTGTGCGCGCGGAAGAGGGCGTTCTGCACCACGATGATCACGTCGCACAAGAAGCCCTTGGTGCGCTGGTTGTTGAGCTGCAGGAGCAGCTGCCTCGAGTGGCCGGGCGCCTCCATCGTGTCCAGCATCGTCTGCCCAGCACACTCTCCTGCGGGGACACACACCAGCGGGGTAAGAGCCACGCAGCGCCCCGCCGCCGGTGCCCGGCCCGGCCCGGCCCGGCCGCTCCAACTTCCCCTTCCCCTCAGCTGAGCGGGGGCATGGGGCACCGCGGCCTGGGCACTGGCGCGGGAGGACCGGCGGCCTCCGGGAGCGGCAGCCTAGGCCTGCCGGCCCGAAGCACAGTGTGGAGCAAAAGGAGGACGGCTGCGGATGGAGAGGAGGCCAGACAGGCCTGGGTGCTCCAGGCCCAGGCGCTACCGGGTGCACGGGCTGGGTGCTGGGGACTCCCAAGGAGCCAACTGTTCAGGCGCAGTGACCCTTTCGCAGACAGTTACCCGACTTAAGTGAGTAAAATGTCCGCTTCAGGAAAAGTCATTCAGGGCCAAGCAGTTTGCCCAAGTGGGGTGAAAAGGATCCGAGTAAAGAAGTCCCTCCCGCCTCGGAAGAAGTTGCCCCCGTTGGGGGAAATAACACGGAGAACGAGAGCGCGGAGCCCACCGAGGCACCGCCCTGGCTGGGGGCTGTCAGCCCCTGCTTGGGGCCCGGGGCAGTGGCGCGGGAGCGGAGACAGCGGCTGCCGCGGCGGGCAGAACGCGAAGGCCGGGCCCCGGCGCGGGGAGGGCGTTATATCGGGCAGGAGGCTGAGGCAGGAAGCAGGTGGGGGGGCGGGGGGAGCCACGCAGCTCCCAGGGGAGGGAGGGGGCAGCGCCCCGGGCGGGCACGGCGCGCGGCCCACTGCGGCCCTGACCCCCAGCCTGCGCCCCACCCGCGTTCTGGCCCCAGCCCCGGCCTCGGCTCTGCACTCGCGGACCTGGCGCTTCCCGCCCCAGCCCCCCCCCCCCCCCCCCCCCCCCCCCCCGGAATCCTGCCGCCCCAAACTTGGGGAAAAGTTTCCCAACTTCAGACAGGGCGGGAGGAGCGCGCCAACCCCCAGCCCCTCGGCTCCCAGCTTTTCCTCGCGGCCCCCTGGCCCGAGCCAAACTCCACGGCTCTCCCCTGTCCTCCTGGTCGGCCGCCCGGCTCCATTTCCCGCCTGGCCCGCACGACCTCGCGGCCCGTTACCTGCGGCCGCACCCCGGCCGGGCTTCCCTCCCCGCGGCAGTGGCAGCTCCTAGCCCGCGCCCCACCCGCCCCGCTGCCAGGCGCCGAGCTGTGCCAGGGCAGCGCCCCTGCCAGCCCCGCCCGCCGGCTCCCCTGCTCTTCCCCTCTCGTCTCCAGCCCATGTGCGGGCAGAGCCGGCCCGGGGCCGCTGACCTCGCCGTGAACCCGGCAAGGAGCAGCGGCCCTGCCGTCCGAGTCCCCTGGGGAAGGCAGTCAGAACCCCGAACGCCAAGCACGACGGGGCGCCCGCACCAAAGGATGCGCTGGAAGCGGCCAGCGCGCGAGTACCGGACCGTCCCGGGTCCCTTGTCCCTCTAGGTCCCCAACTCAAGGACCCACCTGGGGGGCATGTCGGAAGCCCCGGGCCCGGCTGACGGCGGATCCAGGGGGGACGTGGCTGCGCTGCCCTCCGCCCGCCGGGCCCCCAGTCGGTCTGTCCTGCCGGTCCGTCCTCCCCGCGTCCTGGTCGCGTCTCAGACCCGCTGCGCTTTCTGCACACTCTTATCTGGGGCTGCCCCGGCTGGCAGGCGCAGCCGCAGCCGCAGCTATGGCGCCACCTCGCGGCCGCGCGAGCGCGCGCGCCCGGGCCACGCTCTCGCTCTCGCGCACCTGGAGGGATGGAGGATCGCAGATGCCGGGCTCAGCTGGAGATCCGCAGGTTTGTGCGTCCAGATGCGCCCACCTGGAGACTCAAGTACAGAACCTATGAGTGCCAAGAACCCTGTGCGTTTGAACTGTTCCCATGTATACACGTCTATGAACATTGCCCGAAGTTCGGCAAAGTCCTGACCACAAGGAGGGACAGGAACTCTGGTGATGGCAGGTAGTAAGGGGAAATCCTGAGACGAAGGTAAACAAGTTCTCAGAGACTCTCAGTAGACACTCCGGGACGCGACTGTCCAGCTGGCCCCGCCCCACAACACGTCCGCCCAGACTCAGGCACATGTGTTAAGTATATACCGCTTAAACCCGTTTGCGCCCAGACCATATCTAGGCAGCGACACATACTGGAGAGTAGAGTATCTCTGGACACCAGAACATTCCATAGGAAATGGTTGTGCAGAGCTTCTGGGGACTTCTGCTGAGCAGGAGTGACCCAGATCCCCCACGTGAGCCATTTCCAGTGGCCCCAGTGAATGAGTTCTTCTCCAACCCACTCATAACGACAACATGTCATGAAGGCCCGTTGGCTTAAGACCTCAGAAAAGGTTCTGCACCCCACATGAAGGATCGGTTCATGAGTGATGTTTCTTCCGGAAAGGAGGGGACCCTGCACGAGCTCCGGAAGTGTCCCCCGCAAAGCCCCGTGCAGGCACTAGGACGGGTGCAAGCATCACGTCTCAGGGTCCTACGCTCCGCCTCCTACACCCCCTCCCGCACCTCCTGACCCCCGCCCACACGCGAAGGGGAGGGGTCCCCAAACCGCCGGCAGCTTCTGATTGGCTACACTTCCCTCAACCACCAAGCGCGAAAGGCTGGGGCGCAGCGTTACCATGGTAACTGATGAGATTCGCCCAGATCGCTTCACTCCGAGGCCTTGGAGAGCTTAGCAACAGCGCGGGGCCGCCGGGCGGGCGGAGGCCGCACTCGCTGTGCACCCGGAGCGGCTCTCCGGCCCCCCACCGCCCCCGCCAGAGGTAGAGACTGAGTCACTCGGCCTGGGGCGGCTGCCGCGGTCCCTAGCTGGACACCAAGATCTTGGGCGCCCTCCAGAGGCTTCTTTTCCTCCGCAGCCTCCTTGCCTGGCCCCGCCTTCTGGTCCAAACTAGTCTGTCAGCCTGACTCCCGCAGCGTCTTGAGTGCCCCCCC